TGTCCGTAGATTGTATTGTAGTAGGAATATCTTGAGTTGAGAAACGAACTGGGAGATGAATAGTGTGTTTGTAACTTATAAGTGCCGCATCTGGAATCCAGACACAGGCCATTCCTGCCGCTCTCTGTCCTCGGCGGGAACCAGCCGGCTTTTAACTATGATTTGCCCCCTATGACTTTCGCATACTGATGACTGGAAACACGTACATGACCAAGTTGCCAATTCACTGGTTGGATCCATGATGAGGATCATGGAATCCTTCCGAAGCTCACCAATGCAGCCATGACACACACCAACCCTTCAACCAAACGGCACCGAAGAGAAAGTTTTGGGACCGAGTCCACCCAGACAAGAAAATGATGAGAATAGTTTGCTATGTCGACCAGGGTCTGGCCTTGTTCCAACCTTGCCTGCACCTCCGGATCGCCCAATGGTTGACGTGCCGCTCTGTGCTCCCGCCCAAGCTTACAGACATCGCCGCATGGTGATCGAGACTTGAAGCTCTTTGCTGTTGAGTGCAACTCATCGAGTCCTTGATGCTGGGGAAGCCAACTCCCCGGTGTCTTCCTTTCTAGGCCCCCGGTCCCGGCGGTCCCGGAATCGCAAGGAAACGCTTGTGTCCTGAAAAGGCCATAGAGTCCAAGACTGCTCGGCAACACCTCTCGACAAAGTCACTGATACTGTGCAAGATTGTTGTGCGGCAGGTTCTCTAGGACGCTGCCTTAAATAGAAGGTGCTCAGTATCACTGAACTGCTGTGGAGTTAACCACGAGATTTGTTATTCTCTCCTTGAGACGCAATGAGTACCAGCAAATCTGTGATAGCGCTCAGTTCGAGTAGATACCAGGGCCTGAACTTGAGGTACACGCTTGCTTTTATATTGTTATCACCATACAGCCAGTGTGAGAGCAATGATTTCCAACTTGGTTGGGCATGGGAATATGCACTCTTTGAGTTCTTCGATGGACTACAGGAGAACTGAAAGCTGAGGCGGCTCAACAATGCAAGTAAGCCTGTCTTGGCTTGCCAGATCCATTACTATAATGTAAGACACATACAAATGTTTCATTGCCGCCTTTGCTGCCGTTGCACCTTGGCGTCCATCAAATGCCGCGTCAAACGGTGTGGTGGGTATATGTGGTCCAAGTCTAACTCCATGCTCATCCGCTATCCTGCCGCCTGCCCGATCATCCGATCACAAAAATCACGATTCAAACCACCCTGGGCTGCCTTCTTTATCCAATAATGCTTGACGGACCGCGCCACATTTGGCCGAGAGACACCGTTGACCAAGATCTCCCCCCTTTTCCCCCTTCCCCTTTCCCTCTCGGTACCGTACTAGGAACCAAGGAGATCTACGGGCGTCAGAGAAGCATTGTGCCTAGTCCTAGAGACATATGTCTGCACTCTTCTGGTTGTTCATACCCCCTTACCTAGTCACGCTACCCAGAACAGCCGCGCATCGCTGCAGGACTGAGCGGGCTGGTATGCTATTGGAGTATTCAGGCGCCTTGCAAGGTTGCGCACCATGCTGGGCTATATATCCTGTATACCTATTGGCGGGCAATATTTGTCAGGGGTTCTGCCTGGGGGGAGATGGCGATGGGACATCGGGGAGAAGCACTCTCAGGTTCATGACCAGACCAGGAGTGATGCCTTTTCACTCTTATAGTCAAAATTATTGATATCTTGACTCTTGGCCCGCCATCTCATGCTGTTAATGCCCAAATAATAGTGAAGTCATAGATAAAAGAGCTGAAAGTCTGTCAGCAGAGCAGCTAGAGAACACTAAGAGTCCAGAAACACAATCTCCACGATTCTGGGTTGTATTCTTCAGCTTCCCAAGAGTTCTGAATGGTAAAATCTGGCTCTTTAACCGTGAAAAGACCTAACTAGGTTCGGCAATGGTGTTCACCGGTCCGATTTGCCTGAAGGGAAGGTAGCAACGACGCTTTTTGGCGGGTGCTACAGACACACCCGGAATCAATAGAATCCAGCCTAGTGACTATCAGAAGACTGAGCAGTAAGGTGCCTCTTCATGGATCATAGGCCCGGGAAGGACAGACTATGCCTCTGTTGAGGCTCCCCACGAAGTGTGTCCTTACCCCGGTGCTGGATGAACGGGAATGTTGCCTTTTGATGCCTAGTCCAAACGCAATGGCGATGAGGACTGGCCCGGCTCCCTGAGCATAGGCGACGGAAATGGTGAAGCTGCCACAAATCCAATCTATCTTCACTCTCTCAAATCAGCCCGGCAAAGCGCTTGCTTCTTCCGCGGGAAAATTGCAAGTTAGCCAACTGCCAGCAGTCCTGGGCTCCCTGGCCAACAGACATCGTGCACTCCACAGGAGAAAAGCGCCTTACCTTGCGAACTGACTGTTGGTTTCTGTGTCTTTTGCAAGACTACGATGTGAGATCAACAAAATGGTGGCTTGTCGCAAGTGGTGTAGCATGCTAATGGAGGAGGGATATGGCTAAGCCCTCTGGCCGCATATGAGGAGGCCCGCTTTACATAGCCGCCGACGACGACAATGTCTCCCTCCCAGGCATATCTGATATATGTGTAAAGAGGCTGAGCATTCAGCAGTAGGCCTTGCTACTAAAACATTTGCTGGAGATTCTGTGACACTTTGGGCAAGTGGTTTGGCAGTGACGCGCTTGGAATTGGCTGGAGTCGAAGGCATGCTACGACATGGCTAGTGTGGACTGGAGATGGTTGCAAAGACTGGTGGCTGAGAAAGAGAAAGGTACCTGTGTTTTGATCAATCAGATTTCGATGGAGGTCTTGTATGAGTTGTTCAAAGGACATGTAGTAACAAGCATGAGTTTTGGTGACTGCACGGTGAAGGATGAAGAACCTTGCGCGGCCAAACAATGCCGAACCCTGGCCGGTTGACACGATGATCGTGCCACTGCATCACAGCTCATCTTCCTTCAGCAAAATACATGATTTCAAATATTATGCAAAAGAATAGCCCTTGCTAGACACTTCAAAGATGGTGTTGGGGAATGTTTAAAAGTTCCCAGACAAAAGTTGGTATGACCTCTCACCGTGTTATTTCCAAAAGAACAGCTGGAGATGGATGCGCTACAAACGATCACAAACGTGGACATGGCTATCGTTTGCCTCCAGGCTTTCTTAAAATCTTCTCAAGCGGAAAGAAGAATATGCCTGTCATTAGGCGCACACCCGGATTGCCTGCTCTACAAAAGCGCCTGACACGGTGCCTTGAGCAAGACGATATCCTCTACCGAGAGGAACTTGAACAGACTGCCGGGTTTCAACAGTATAGAAGCAGCTTCGACGATTAGGACACTTTTTGCTATAATGGCATCTACTTTCGATGTTTTTATGGTTTGACCCAGTAATTTGGTTCACTAAAGACCATAATAGGCAAACCATCGATAGACTCAGGTCAACTTTAATCATTTGTCCTAGGACCGGCAAAAGTGAAGCAGCAAGCACGGAAAAAGGCCTGAAGAAACAGCGTTCGAAACGCATAGCAAGCTGTCAGGGCACATAGTTTTCTTCCCCTTAGTTGTTACGGTAGCTAGATATGGGGAAGCCCGCAGACAGAGTTTGCAAACAGCATGACAGCAGTGCATTCTCTACTGAGACATCGTATCATAATGAATATTAGAACAAATTAAGTAATCAGAGCAACAAGTTATTTAATGTTTGTCATTGACAGGAAAGCCCGTATTGAGTTTTGGCTGCAGCCGATCTATTTGCCATTCCCAAATCCGTTCATTTGGCCCCCAAATTCAGATTTTGCAATCGACCTAGACATAGAACGGAAGTAGATCAAATATCCCCATCTCTCCACTGGCTGTGACGTAAAGCACCCCGATAAACCTTCTGGAACGCAAGAAAACTGTCAAGCATGGCATCAGACAGCTGCCCTTCCCCCCACACAGCAAGCAAAACATCAAATACCTCGCCGATTGCCATTTCAAGATAAGACAAGCATGCCATTCACTCAACTGACTGACAAGAATAGTAAGAAAAATTGCCTTCCAATTGATAGGCGGAACAGACAAAAAAAGAAACCGGGAATCTTACCGCTGCATCGAGGGAGATATGTGGTCGGCCATGGGTTGAGGGTATCGAAAATGGACAGATACCGGCCGGGATGTCCTAAAAGGCGTTCTTGCAACGATACTTTTAGATATATTATGCTTGCATGAATATGAACTGAAATGCGTTAAAAGGGAGTATCCTCGGTGTCTTCATAATTCCGATTTCGAAGTGGAAGACAAACAAGTTCTTGAGCACCATTTAAAGGACAATTATATTGACGCTACCAACTCGCTAATCATGAAAATTGGGCTTTTGTCGTCTCGATCTTCAATGGCAGGTATTGGGACCAGTCCTTTGATCACCCAAAGGCACACGAAAACCAAGGGTAGGGTCAGTAATGAGAGAACAAGAGAACGATGTTCAAGAGAAGCCAACAATAGTAGGACCATTTAGCGAGAAATTCGTCGCATCATAGAGCTTCCCTCATGGGATGTTCTGTCATTCTAACTCTTCCTCGGAATACACTGGTGGTATCCACAGCTAGGTCACTGTTGTCATGGATTGGAAATGCGATTCCACGGCAATACGAAACAAGGAAGATTGAGTAATGGATCTGCAACTAACAGAGCTAAATTTCTGTTCGTTGTCATTTTTTGTGTCCATATTATGATCAAATAGCCCCATGTGTTCCTAGGCCGAGCCAAACCCAAGACCAACCTAACGCTCCATTGCCCCATTTTTTTCATGCTTTCTCCCGCTAGAATGCTAAACTAGATGTGAAAACAAGGATATGGAAGAAGGTTCAAAAATATAAGGGTATATCATCAGTAATTGGGAAGCACGCATATACTACTACCAGGATGGCAAAGTCTGACAAGGTCACCGTGATTAGAAAAGGACCCCCGGGGCCAGTAGGGTACAAGTTGGTGCGAACATGGCGGTGCCCTGTTGTTTGCTTATAGGTTTCCAGTTGTAGAAGTCACTGGGCACCTTCTATGGCCGGAGCAAAGGTATAGTTGAAATCGAGAAGGCCGTCCAACATCCAGTGCTGAGGATCCCACAGGTCGTAGGTACTGTCATAGTTCATGCCGCTGCCCAGTATAGAGCCCTGGGCGCCGTTGGCCATGGCCACGCCGCTAGCGCCGGGTGTCAGGGAACCGTTAGAGGCCGCTGTAAGGCCAAAAGCGTTAGGAAGTGCCTGAGTTGACGAAGCCAGGGTGCTGTCTAAATGAGTCGACGAGGCTGAGGATTCATTAGCCGAATCGGGATTTGTAGATTGTTTCAAAGCTACCAAGATGTATCTTAGCCCGCACGTGTTCATCAAGAGGAACAAGGCAAGGACGAAAAAGATGTAAACTTGGAATGAATCAAGAAAGAATGGGAAGGGGTAATACTCACCGTCGAGCGTGCCTCGTCCTCTGGCCTGGTACTCTTCCCTCCAGTGCCAGATGGAATCGAACACCAGACTCATGCTGTGTCGGCAGCGGACCTTAAGTTGAAGACTGTCATCTATCTCTGGCTCGTCGGGCAGCGCCGCAGGGTCTTTGATCTTGGCACCATTCCAGAGAATAACCATCAACTCAGCTAACCTCCAGTTCAGGTCGTTATGAACCACACTAGTCTGTCTAATAGCCTGAATGGTCCTGTGAAAGAGATCTTTGCCTCGCGCGTAGTCAACCTGCTTGACAAAGAACGAGCGCATGAGTTTGAGCAGGGAGAAGCCTGCAGCGACCAGCATTTGCTGGATGTAATTTGTGGCATATTTCAGGAGGTAGCCGTCTTGGAGTTGGTACCTGTACTCCTCAGGGCATTGCTCCCGCTGTTCCCTTGAAGGACCAAGGATATAGTCTAAATAGCTTGTGGTTGCCCTCCAGAGAGCCATCAAATCATCCATGTAACCCGGCGTGCTGCTTGAGTCGAAGAAGCCTGCTAGACGGAGGTGAAGACCAGCAGCTTTAAGATGAAGAACCACAACAGGCGACAACCTCTGGGACAAAATTGAGGCCTGGAGCTCATTGAACTCTCGCCTGTACACGCGCATCAACATGGCGCGGTGCTCATCGCCAGCAACACCGCGAGGGTCGCTGGCACAGCTGTACATCTCCTTGGAGACTTTATCGCAGAAACGTTCAATCTGCAATCTAGCCTCCAATTCAGGGCCCAGCGAGTAAGGCCCCGAGTCGTTGGGCCGCACAGCCAAAGTCCAGTCGTACAATGTAGACGCTGGCTGGCCATAGCCCGTTCCAACAGTCTGAGCCACAATATTACATACCGCCCATGTCTTGATGCGGTCATGTAGGCCTTCTTTGTTGAGTTCCACAGCGAAGCGAGAGAAGTCATTGATATGGTTTGGCCGGTGCAGGCCGAGGCCGGTGGCCGCCTTCATCATGACACCACAGAGTATATGTGTGGGGTCAGACGACGTTGTGCTGGTCGGCAGAGGCCAAGCACAGAGGAGACAAAGCGCCTTGACGACATAATAGGTCTGGGGAACATCACCAATAGTGGTCCACAGCAGCTTGTTCAAGGGAGTGGCCAGCTTGTTGAGGATGGCCGTGGGATCTGGACCAAACCGCCTGCTTGCAACAGCTATGATGGCCCAGTACAGCAAGGCATGCTGTTGGTAATACTGATCTGGAGTTTGATTTTCGTTCAGGAATGGCAGGAATGGGTGATAGCAGGTCCAGTACAGGTGAAACAGTTGGCGTTCTTCATCCTCAGTGAGCCTGAAGTCGTCAAGCTCGCGAACGATACGCGGCATAATGTAGGCACCACCGCCCCGCTTGAGGTGCAGAAGCGATGATACGGCCTCATCCGAGCCTATCAAGGAGGGGTTGCGGGTATGTGTGTAGTGGCTGGCAACAGCGGGTGACTGCAGCTGAGACTGCATGGCTTCTTCTTCATCCTCAAGAACAAAGCCTTGCGCTTTTGCTATCTGGACGGCGCGGCGAAGGCGCTCGATCTCCTTCTCCATTTCGGCATGCTTGGAACGTTTGCCAATGCGCTTAAAGTTAGACTCGATCTTACACTCGAGCTTAAGACGGTTGCAACGCGAGCAACTCTGGAAAGGTTCTTGGACGACATCGCAACGGAGCTATCGGGCACAGACGCTTGGGTTAGCAGCTTGGCAGATATGATTGGAGCCAGTGGCTAATGATGAATAAGGTTAAAAAGGATGGGTAATGAGGGGGCCCGCTCCGGTGACCGGCGGACGGAACCGGAGCAGCGGAAGGGGTTGCGAATGCGGAGACGGAAGCGGAGTATAAGACGGAGGAGGGGCATGCCCAACTGTCGGAGCCTGACACTCAACAACTCTCCGACCTAACAACTAACCCCAAGAAAGCGCTCAAGACAGCAGGCATGCAGCTAAACCGGCAAACGAGGAAAACAACGCAAACAAAAATGAAACAAAAGCAGAGAACAGTACTCAAGAAACGAACAGATAACGATAGCTACCAGGAAATAGGCAAACAGGCAAGGTAAGAAAGCGGGGCAAGAGAGAGCAGGCAGAGCCACAAGCAACCAACCTTCTGCTGTCGACACTCGTTGCAAGCACGCTTCACACCAGGCAAGCGTCGTGTCTTGGTCTCTGGCGAGGCCTCGCCCTGCGGGTGACGGTCCTCATGATCACGGTGTTCTTGATCGTGCGCCTCGGCGCTGTCGTGATCAGCGGCACTGGCCGGACTGCTGTCCACGGTGCTACGCTTGCGCTTGACGCTAGTAGGGCCGGCGCCGGTACCGTTCGCGGCGTGGGTCCGCACGCCGGCAACAAACTCGGGGCTCTCCATGGGGCAGCCCGACGAGTAGCGAGTGACTCTACTGCCGAGTCAACTAAAAAACGGCCGATGACCCGATGGCTGACGATGATAAGGCCGGCGCCCCGCGCTGGAGTGGGGAGCAGACACTGAATGCAACAGCCAGCGACCAGTAGCCAGGCACGCCCGCGATGTGAGAGGAGATCCGAGTGGTGCGTGGTGCGTGGTGCGCGATGAGTGCTGTGACTGGTGAATGCCAGCACGCGCGAGACAAGCGCAGCGTGGCACCCAGCGTCAGACTCAGACTGTCAGTGTCGGGCTGTCAGCCTAGGTGCTTCAGCCTAGAGTGTGGCCTCGTGACGCGCTGTGGGCGGAGTGGGCGCAGTGGATTCCCGGTGCCCGACACGGCAAGCCGACGGGCACAGCTGCTGACGGCTGAGCGCTCGGGTTCTATCAGACGTTGGGCCGCGGCAGTTCGCTCTTTTGGAGGTCCGGTCTCGCGGTCGAGATGGCAGACCTGGGAGATTTGGAGGAGAAAAAAAAGCCGATTTCCGGAAGGCGGGTGAACTGTGTGCAACCAGGTCTTGCTTCACGTTGGTGGGCGGGGATGGTGTGACTCTTTTCCATGGCCTCTCTGCACTTGTCCAGCCTTGGGCGGGGAGCTCACGTCGCTTTTCCATGGTTGAACCACGCTACTTGGGCCCGTGGGGTCTGACTCGTCGCCTGCTTATTGGTCCTTGCTACCCCAATGCCCCACTCTCTCCCATCATCAGCGAATCATCGTCGTCCATGACCTGGGACTCGCTCAAAATTTTTCGAAGTTTTTTTTTCTGTCAACAATTCTTTCCACGTGTAAGCCGGGTGGATCTCAGGGCTCGCCATCATCTCGCACCGTTGCACAAGCGGTTAACCGTTGAAAGATAATGTCAAATCTAAACATTAGCTCAACGGCTCAAGTCTTTGGCGTCACCGGAAGGCTTTCCGGCCGTCTGTTGTCATTGCATAGTGTAACCCCAACAGGTCCCAGCAGCCCAACCCCACGTTCTGCTGCTGCGCCTTGTTTACTCAGAGATACTTAACCTAGGCACAGATATCCTACTTGTATCTCATTGGTCATTGTAACAGTAACCTATGCAGCATTGTTTACCGAGAGCCCATTTACCTCTCATAAGGTCAATGTGTTGAGTCTAAGGTGGCCTGAGATGTAGGTATGTCCTGAGAGAGTAGATTTGAAAATCTCCCAGGATCCAAGACCAGACAACCAGCCGGCTTCTCATAGAAGTTCATCCTAAGTGCTGCCCACGTTCCGATTGATATCCGATCTAGGTAACCAACTACCTGACTTCGGCTTTTGAAGAGCCATATAATACTTTAATATACATAAAGTTGAGTCAAGAGTCTAGTACTTTCTAGTAGCATGGTAAACTCATATGTGAAAACTTACTGGCTTTATTCGTTGGCCAGTGCTTTGCCGGCGATCGAAGGTTATGATTCTCTCCTGAACGAACTTCATGTCCTCGCATACCGAACAAAGAACTAGGAATATTGTCTCAAGCACTATGGACTCGCTCGCCTTTTGTGAGCGGTGAGTCAAGTACGTGTCTTCTATGTCAACTTCTACGTAAGATCTTACATGGCACAAGGACAGTATCTCAAATAGCAGGTAAAGAATTAGAATGAGGACTTGCTACTGTGCTGTTCTCTGACTAGTAGATTGTGAACTTGTAACTGTTGTTATGGTTACTACCATACGTGTTCGTCATCACGATTGACTCATCGCAAGTCCCAGTAATGACATAGTAACTAGCTTAGAGCCTGATCCATTCTTTAGTATGTATGCCAGGTATATTATGCTTGAGAGCTGTATACGTATCAAAGTTGAGATACAATTTTATTTCCAAACAATATGGTGTCGATTGGAATCTGTTTCCCCTTTAGAACATCTGCGTTTATCCCCAGAGAGTTTTGGAAGGACTAACATCTCGACCAGTTGTTTCAGCTGTTGGTTAGGTACTTACTATTTCACATTTTCTTACATCAAGCACCTTTCGCTATAGTAGATGAATCAAATTTTTTTCATATCTGTGAGGTGAATGCTATGAGAATTGATTCGTTCTTGAAACTGTTTCCTGTGAGAGCTGAGCAATTTACACCAATTATGAAGAGACTCAGTGGTTGCAAGCAAAGAGTGATATTAACTTTCCAAGCTGGTCTGGCTCCTATATAACAACAACGAGGTGCTTGTCGATTGCCATATGCAGTCAAGATCTTCGAAAGATGTATCAATCAGAACGATGTTCCGAGGGATGGGTAAAAAGATTGTTCTTGGAATGTGCTTCCCCGTGACATCAGCTTGTTTTCCTGGAAACTCACGTTTTTACCAGACCATGTCGTTTTGCACCGTCGCCCCGCATGCACCAAACCGTATCGCATACACCATTAAATATAAATCCAAACCTTACCCCGTGTGCTACACTGCATGCATATTCTTTCCTCTATACCGGCGCACTTTAACCCTCTCCTGATTATACGACCCTAATTTCCTGCTTTTCTCTTACCAGCGCTGACTGACCGGTTGGGAATATCGAAGCTTACGCGCAAGACTCCGCTGAGCCTCAGATAGATGACATACACCACGAGGTACATAAAAGCCTAGAAAATAGAGGAGACTGTGTCTTGCAAGCGAATCCAAGTCGATGGCTTAGTATTGCGCGCGCTGAGCACTTCTTAGATCAGTGTATAGTTATACGATATGGGATGGTGCGTCCAGGGCTACGGTCCAACACAAGATTCTCCATAACTAACCGGCTGCTACTTAGTAAATGTTGTCCATCCCATATCATTGTTATGAGATGAAGCCCTCATCTAGCACTTGCAATGTCCGTCACTTAGCTTGTGTCCGCGTCATCAGAAGGTCAAAAACTACCGACAGAAGCTTGGGCTTCACAAAAATAAAAAAAGACGAAAGAGTAAAATGTAAAAGCATGCCGACGGGCAAACACAAAAGGTATCTAGATTGAGAACTACAGTTGAAACAACGCAGGTATTGCTGTCACTTTTTGTTGCCCGCTTCCTTTTCAGGGGGTGGCACAGCATTTACACCAGCCACAGAGAATATGGCTGAAGCTAGGTCAATTAGCTCCACCTGCCCCAGTGACGTCGTGCAAGACGCGGCAATTCCACTTCAATAAATTGCCTGTGGCCACCAACACCACACCAAGCCGCCAAGCAGACCACCACTGGGAATTCTTTTCCGGTTATCATCGACACAGCTGCCGGAATGGGTTCATCTGGGTCTAAAGTAGCGCAGAAAACTGCGCGCAAATTCCCGTCCCGTCCTCCTGGGACAATGCCAGCAGCTGGATGGCCGAGTCCAGCACGTGGTCACAACCCGCAATCCCCAGCATCTCCAACAGCTCCACAGCAGCAAGCAGGCCAGCCGCAAGCTTCATATACAAAGAACGAAGGTTAGCTTCCCTGATATGGTCGCTTCAGCGGGCTACTAGTGTCTGGAAGCCAACAATGCTAGCATATGGCCGGACCAAGATCTAACAAATTGCTTTTTTGTTCAGCGATCCTCGCCGATTCTGTCGATCCAAGCAGTCCCGACTATGTTTCGCCCGAGTTCGCGGAGAGATTACGAAAAATGGGCATAGTGCAACCAAACCCAACGTACTCACCATCGTCAATAGCTTCGCCAGTCATGGACGCTTCGGGCATCGCCCAAACTTTATCAGCTCCACAGTATCCGTCATCACGAGCAAACATTACCCTCAATGTTCTTGAGGCCCGGCGGAAACTCGAAGCTGAGGCTCAAGCCGAGCTTGATAACCTTGGCAAGTTGACGAACAAAGGCCGTCAATTCCTCGATATTACCACGATCAAGCAGGCTCTAGTGCTCCGTGACCGCGGTGTGGCCACTTCAGATATTGAATCCCAATTAGGACTGCGTCCCGGCGTTGTGGCAAAATTAGGACCCAAAGGGCTCGTATCTCCTGCATCATGAATTGCAAGTCTGACAAACCATACCTAGCGCAATATCTACTTAGCTTGCGTCATTAATTGCCCAGCCTGCACTTGGGGTTGCTGCGCGAGCCATTACTTTCCCGCAATGTCGACTCAAGACCCCAAGAAGCCCTTCTGGTTTTGGACCACCGATCTACTTACAAGATTATCCCGATTTGAGGCTCCAGAACATGTGTGGAGGGCCCACCCTTACCAGGCGCAGTGACCACCGTCAATTCTAAGATCAGCACCCGTCATGAAGCTGCTGGCATCACTAAGTAAAAAGATAGCTGCCCCTCGGTATTCGTGCGAGTAGCTCAGCCGCCCGAGCATGTTGCCGTTTGACCAAGCGGCACTTCTCTCTGGATCTGCCTCGAGGAGATTTTCTGTCATGGCTGTGATGATATACCCCGGTGAGAGAGAATTAACACGAATTCCGTACTGACCCCATTCCGAGGCAAGGTTGCGAGCAAGTTGGAGAACTGCAGCCTTTGATGCATTGTATACTCTGCCTGCTGGTCAGTGCTGAAACGAAAAAAAAAAATAAACATGAATTGTGTGCACACTAAACACTCACGGGCAAACTAGCTCCCTGTTTGCCACTGTCCCGCTCATGCTGCCAATAAGCACCATGCTTCCTTTCTGCTTCCTCTTGATCATCTCCCGAGCGACCGCTTGTGCGGTCAGAAACACTCCTGTTACGTTGGTGGCCAACATCTTCTCGCAATCCTCAGCGGTATACTCCAGGGCTGGTGTCACCTGCTGGATGCCGGCGGCAGCGATGAGGCCATCCAATCTGCCCTCGCGTTCCGCAATGCTTCCAACAATATCGCCTAGACGCTGTTGATCGCGGACGTCCACGCGGTGGTAGCTCAAACGGGTGTTCAGCTCCGAGATAGCGCGATCGACTACCCGGGAGAAGTCGCTGTCCTTCCCCGGCGCCGGCAATCGGTCCAGCGCGTGTACGACCGCTCCCGCTTCGAGCAAGGCCTCAGCTTGGGTGAGGCCTACACCACGAGCGCCGCCCGACACAATGATGACTCTGTCTTTGAGGCTGAACTCGGGGAGGAGATGCTTGGCATCATGGTTGTGCCGGCTCAAGCTTCGACTGAATGATCGCTTCAAAGAAAGGGCGATTGGAGTGGGACAAAGGATTCGAGTCTTTGCCATAAAAGAGGCTCTCATACAGACTGACATCATCATTCTTACCACTTTAACTAGGGTAGCCACTTGGAGGTAACGTAATGAACGGGTTGTATTGAGCTGCTTATTATCCTGCGATGATCCTGTGTGGAAGGGGTTGTTTGGGAAGTTTGGCTCATCAACACACTCTCAATTATAGCCAGATCTTGGGCCAGGAGGTAGGTAGTGTTACAGTTCCCAAATACTTGTGTTATGAGCACAATAATTCTGGTATTAGGTCAAACCCTCAAATAGGGGTCGTACCTTCCCATAACACATAGCAGCCGACACACAAACCGGGAGGATAAAATTCACCGAGTCATCGTGTTAGCCTAGAACGGGTCTGTTATTGGTCTTGTCAACTCCTTTTCTGTTGTGCAACATGGTTGAAGAAATTCAGATGCGTTGCGTTGTGGAGTGTGGACAATCAGCTCTAAGCAGAGGCGAACGAATTATCTACGAAGCACAACTGATAATGTACTTCGTATTGGACGATCCTTTACATCCATTGGCTAATGCCATCGCCGACTGAGATTCCCGAATTCCGCGTCTCTGCTTCACAACTCCGGCCATTTTTCTTTTCCGATGCGGTGCGACAAGAGGTCGGGCCGATGACGAAACGGCTGTCTGAGGGCTTCACAGAGGCGGCATCCACCATCGCACCAGATCTTTGGTCTGTGGGGAAGAAACATCAAAACTGATGCTCCAAGGGGCCAGCGACGATGAGCTATGACGAGTAGTTGTTGAACAGTCGCCTTGCTACTGTTCGTCCAATCCTTACAGAGATTAAGTTTAAGAAACAAATCGTGTTGATAATGCATTGTCATGACAAGCTGTCTCCACGCCAGTGTTACTGGTCAAGTCTGACATCAATCTGTAGGCATCTCGTCGCCAGCCATCGTGGTCTTGAGCAAGCGCTGAGATGGGGAGCACAAGCGGCCGGCTCCTCGTTATTCCGCGAAACAGCCGGGATTTGATGGTGCTGAGGATGGACGGGCTTCTCGGGCAACAACCGGCACGTTTTGATGTCTGCCTTAGGGAACCAAGTTTTCCCCTGCTATCTTTCCCCTGACACACATGGACGCGCTGGGCGGGAGTTTCCTTCTAGGGTCATCCCAAAGCCCCATCCAGGTCCCACTGCGTGCAACCGTTCTGGACGCCACAAGCGCCTGACAAGCCTATCGTCGCTTGTTCGACACGGGAAGATGTCTCACCACGTTTGTCCGAGGAACTAAAAGCAGCCGGGCACGTGGAAGACACGAGGGAAACACGCGATCAAGAACAAGCAGCAGTATCCGCTATTGACCAATTTTCTTCAGGCTTCTTCTGGATGTGCCTTTCCAATCCGGCACGAATCCCCGAGGACCCCTGCGGCGAAGTTAAACGCAAAGATGCTTCCAACCGCGCCTCGGGCCTCGTGGTATTGGCACGGTGTTTCAACGCCAGCCTTACAGCCTCGTCGATGCGCGTCATTATGCCCGATGATACCTTCCAGGGCCGGATTGTTCCTTCGACAAGCTTGTTTCATTCTTCGGAAGCCCCGAGAGGACATCGAGAATCTCTCGAGAATAACGCGAATGGCGAATACTGGCCTTAGAGAAGCAGAATGATCGCCCAGTTGCCAATTTCCTATGAGAATTCCGTATCCTTGTTGCAAGCAGTTTCCAGAGAATCGGCAGGACCGGCACTGTACAGATTCCAACGCACATGCGGTGAACGTCCAGAAAATTTGAAAATCCGATGCTGAAAATTTTATCTCCCTCTTCCGATCTTACAGAAGGAAAGAAAACCCAGAAATCCCGCTACCCCTTGCATATCGATCCGCCAGTTTATGACAGCGGACAATGAGCGGTGTAGGATTGGCCAATTCTTCGCAGTCGCTACTGTCAAGATCGGCACAGAGTTGCATGCCGACTCTGTAGCTGTCATGAGAATTTGGGTTTCGTTGTTTTTCCCATCCCACGAGCATTTCTGCCCTCTTCCGAGTGCCGGCGACATGGATTGCCGAAGACCCGGACGTTGATTGGTCAATACACACCCGATACATATCAACGTTTTCGGATACCTCGGCAACAGTCATCGGGGGAAGCGTGGCAGAGGTAAACCGTAGCACCGCAAGGACAATGGCAAACCCTTCAGGTCCCGATGAACAGGGCCCTGGGAGGGTTCAGGACTGCCATTAACTTCATTTCCGCCAAGCCCGGTCCGACATCAGACCACTCGGGCCTTGGTCGGCGATGCTGGAGTAGTGTATTATGCTGGGGATGAGATGAGGCTGATGCGGCCTGAAGCATTGCTGCCAACCACGATGACGTTTCATCAGTCGAGTCTGCCGTGGGCACTGGATACTGACTGGGTCGCGGCAGCGCCGCCGTTTGCCGTTGTCGTCATACCCTGCATGCAACGTGGATATGCTCCTTATCGCACCGTGGTGTTCTTGCCCTTGCGCTGCACACGACGGATACAGACCCTGGACTTCAAAACTCCTTGATGGTGTGCGACACCACCCCACAAGTTGTGGAAGGGATCCCACGGAATAAAGCACCGAGGAATAACAATATTGGCACTAGTGTCCGCACAACGAACCATCTCAGCATGCTGCAGAAACAATCATGCGAGCACAGATGTGATGATGAGGGAGGTGACCACGCTCCGTATTCACGGATCTCGCTTTGTATCGAATCGCTCATCATGACCGGCGGGGATCGTTGGGGATCGTCGAGGATAGGATCGGGCAAGGCGGCAGCCCCGGATTTTCAAGGGGCATGCTTGAGATTAGCTCGCACGTGTCTTGTTTCCAGATCGTATCCGTAAGTATCTTCCGTTAGGCCATTCGGATGTCTGGTGATGATGCTTTTTTTCCTCAGCACTATCACAGATCAGCTTTCCCTTTCGTGCCCTACCCTCCGCATTTTTTTTCTTTTTGTGGATCGTTGATGGAGGACCAGGGAGCATGCTGCACGACAGCTTGGCCGTGCTAGGGATAGCTCAACGCGGAGACAAACCAGTCAAACCAAAACCTTGGATCACGTCAACGTGGCCATGGGCAGCATGATTGATAATCCTGGAGGCGAGTTTCCTAGCTTCTGTTCTTCCATGGGTGACCTGGCGGTTGTTGTGAGTGTTGTCGATGCCACTGTTGTGGCTGTCTCCAGCAACATCACCTTCCAGAAAATTTGTTGATGATACGAGATGATACATCATGCGAACTTTCATGCCACTCCGTCATCCTGCAGCACCGCATGCAGCATACTTCCACAAGCTAGCACAAAGCTAAAATCTCGGAGCACATTACCGGCGCCTGGTGCCTTGCACTTTTTATTCCAGTGCATATTTTGGAACCATCTCGCCCTCTGATTGGCTCGTACCTCGGGGGCTAGCACAGTAATCCTGCTATGTAGACGTGTAGTTGTGTTCTCGAACGATACGGACAAGGTAAGGTCACAGAAAGTTTTCACGGTTTTTCCAATTACCTCCACTACGTGAGCTGCCGCTCGAAGGCTGCGGGGACAGCCGTGGCACCACCCGCATGGGACCGGGCGCGTTTTGGCACTGCTCGCGAGCCTGTGTTTGTTTCACATCACATCGCCTTTGGGTTCGATGCCATCTCTCAATCATCGTATCGTCATTGCTGGTGCATGCTACACACAGTAGTGCCATTTAGGGGCGCTTCGCGCTTTTGAAGCACCCAGTAGTTTGCGATATCCTGTCGCTGTCGCCGTCACCGTCACTCTGCTTTTCCCCAGTTCTCAATCCGAGGAAATGGCCGTCACAGTGGCAGGGACAGGTCTTCGCCCTTAGCCTTCTCCCCGCTGTTCTCCGATATTCCCATAAGCGGTCATTACTTAAAAGCTGTTCCGCTTTTGGCCCACACTGAGCCGATTTGGGCCAAACCCGGAGGTCGTACGATATCCTGCCAGTCTACTGCCGAAGCGAGTGACCCTGGATCTGCAAGGGTACTTGCAGCCGGATGAGGCTGTTTTGGGACCCCTGGCATGCCATTGCCTGCCATGCCAAAATTGCCTTTCGCTTGCCCCAGTTGTAGACTCCATGGCGACCCCATCGTGCCCCATCAAAGATTTTTCGACAGAAGCCGCCGTTGCCCTTCTGCCCGATCATCAAACATTTCGCATGGCATTTTCTTCTAGGATCGTGCTCGCGTTTTTGCTGACTACCCAACCATGCCCTGGGCCTGTCTGCGTGCCCACTGGAGCCATCTATCTGCTCCTGATACCACGAGCTCGCTGCAAACATCACCTCAGGTTCGTCGGGTGTTTACGGGGATATCTTGCATTGCCTTGCCCTGCCCTGATTTGCCTTGGAGGAGCGACAAGTCCATGCGGCTCAAAGGCTTAACGTCTGATTCGTCCGGAAGGAGGCGCCTTGCCTTCCACTGCGGCGTTGTTTCATGACTTGATGTCGACATGGCGCGATGTGATGGACGACGGCTAGTGATAGACGTAGCCTACGGTGAAGCGGGCTGCCACGCTACAACCTCGAACTGCCGCCCCGCGGTTGCACTGGTCTGGTCAGCTCCGGGTGATGACGGCGACAAGACGAGGAGAGAAAGGCCAGGAAGGTTGCCGTTAGTTGTCACATTGATGGGTTGGGTGCTACTCTGCACCACGGCACTGTACTACGATAGCCATGATACTCTACAACAACTGGTTCCTTACAATGGAGACCCAAAAAACATGATGGGTCAGACGGCAATGATGTCTCTCTGTAATAGGCCAGTCTCCTTCGCCACGAGGTATGTGGCGAGTGTACGTGAACCAGTACCAAACACACGGCCTTCTCGGTTCGTTTGGATGGAAATTGAAACTGCCAATAGTGCTACGTAGTCTCGTGCGGAGATACGCTTAAGCCCCGTTCCTGGTTGCTTTTTTTATGTCGTCGCCGCGCCAAAGATGCACCAGTAGTCTTAGAGATACCGATAGGAGAGCACAGCTCCAGGAACTGACCCGCAAGGCTGAAAGGAAGCTGCTCACGACAATAAGCGCAATGCGGACAACGGACGTCAGAGAGTGTGCCGCCAGCGAAGCGCTGGTTCTGCGCGTCTGCCAGGGGTTCGTGGGGGCAAGGGTCCCAGCCGATGCATGGCAACCTAATCCCGTCTGGCGGGGACAGAATCCCGATCATTTTGCTCGAGATGGCAATCTCATGCCAAAATCCCTGCTAGATGCGGTCATCGTACGAGCCAGGGGGGTCAGGGGCGGAAATATGACTCGTCTGCGGATTTTCGAGTGGGAAGAAAAAAAAAGATTGATGGGGGAAAGGAAAAACGGGATGAACGAGATGCCAGACGTCCCACTCCGACTTTCTGCCCAGATTTGGTTTAAAACCCTCCACGACCGCCCGGGGACGCTCGTGAAGATCGTCCTCTCACTTTTGCCAGTTCATTCATTCCACAATCGTTAGGCGGGTCTTCCCCTCCAGCACGGTCTTGTCTTGTGTCGGCCACTGCCACCAGCAGAACGCCAAAGGCCAGCAAGAGATATCTATATACCCTCTATATCCTCACTCGATTTCTCCTCCCCCCCTTCCTCCTCAACACCGTTACCGTTTTTGCTAGTCGCTCGGTCGATCCTAGACAAACACAATGGCGCTCACATACCAGCAGTCCAAGCTGGTCAAGGACACCATCCCGGCTCTTCGTGAGCACGGTGAACAGATCACGACCATATTCTACAAGACGATGCTCCGGGACCACCCCGAGCTGCACAACATGTTCAACAGCGTCAACCAGAAGAACGGCAGGCAACCTCGGGCGCTAACATCCGTCATCCTCACCTTTGCTTCCAACATAAACCACATCAGCGAGCTGATCCCAAAGTTCGAACGCATGTGCAACAAGCACTGCTCTCTTGGCGTCCAGCCGGAGCACTACGAGATAGTCGGCAAGTACCTGCTTCGCGCTTTTAGCGAGGTGCTCGGCCCGGCCATGACGCCGCAAACATTCGCTGCCTGGGAGAAGGCCTACTGGCTCCTAGCCAAGATGTTGATAGGACGTGAGCAGCAGCTCTACAAGGACTTTGAGAAGTGGACTGGGTGGCGCAAGTTCAAGATCGACCGTGTCGTTCCCGAGACGCAGAGCATCTACTCCTTTTACTTGGTGCCGCTGGACGGCAAGAAGCTGCCCAAGTACTTCCCGGGCCAGTACGTTTCATTGCGTATCCACAGCCCCGAGGGCTACATGCAGGCCCGCCAGTACTCGCTCAGCGATTACCCCAGGGAAGACTACTATCGCATTACCGTCAAGCGCGACGAGGGCACCCGCTACTCGAACTCGGTCTCTAAGTCTTACTTCCACCCGGGTCTCGTCTCGAACATGCTCATCGACCACATGGGCGTCGGCTCTACGGTCGAGCTGTCGCACCCAGCTGGTGATTTCTTCCTCGATATCAACAATACCAGCATGATGCCTCTGGTTCTCATCTCGGCCGGTGTTGGCGTCGCTCCTCTGATGGCTATGGCCAACACCGTTACCAAGCTACAGCCGGGTCGACCGATCTCGTGGATCCACGGCTCGCGTTACCAGGTGCCCTTCGAGAGCCACATCCAGCAGCTCAAGCGCCAAAACCCGGCGTTCCGCACCAACATCTTCAAGACCCACCTCGCCGACAGCGATGTCGTCGGTGTCACCTACGACTACGACTTTCGCATGGATCTCGCCCGCGTTAACCCCGATGATCTGTTCCTCACCAATTCTGGGACTGAGTACTACATCTGCGGCCCAGAGCAGTTCATGCTTGAGATGTCCGACTATCTTAAGTCCCAGGGTGTGCCATCCAACCGCGTCAAATTCGAGCTGTTCTCGACTGGCGATCTTGCGTTCAAGCACTGAGTGCTTTCGGCTATGATCTCGACCCTATAGACTTGCTCGTGCAGTCTGCCAGGTCTGAACAAACTGTGGCGCTTGTTTTGATTTCAAGTCTCGCTCTAGGGGTTGCCGATTTAGCTACAGTCGGATGACACCTGTAAGAAGTGGCTCTGATACCCCTATCTATTTCGTCCAGGTTGTTTTATTTTATCCTATTTTTCGTTGACTCATATCTGGCGTCCGGGTTCTGGAGTTATCTCATCGTCATCATAACATTGGGTTTGGTCAAAATCTTGGGGTGCAAGTGGGAGTGCAGGCGTCGCAAGAGGGTCGGTCATGATTGTGTTGAGACAGGGAGTAAAGAGAAAACAACTAGCAGAAAAGCCACCATTGTGTTTTCGGCGCTGCGGGATTCTTGGGTTAGAGATAGCTTAGAGAAGTTTCTATCCCTGGGAAGCCAGTTACACAGCTGCTAGGGAAATAGTGTAATCCTAAGGCCATCTTCAACTTTTTGGTTCCGCTTGATTTTGAGTTTGAAAATTGAGTGAAGACGTCATGTCATGTCTCCAGCGGACCCGTTCGTCAGGGGATGATAACGGCATCGCTGATAAGCAGATGGGTCTCTCCATACGATCAGTCTCCCAACCTTTTTCGTCTCACCAGAAAGCTGTTGGAAGTGGGTGTCTTTGAAGCCGTTCTTTTCGCTTCCCATTGCCTTGTGTGTTTAGACGGTTCATGGCATCTTTCCGTTCACCCCGCCTAACGGTGACTGGGTTCTTATCACGACGATCCAACTCTCGCTTCTTTCTCATAATGAGCTGGTTTTTGCTTCTTGCGCCCGCCGCAGACTTGTGGCTTGAACTTTTCCAGTTTGATCGCAAAAAGCCCCACATGATATTAGACCGCCTGTCGATTCTTGGCCCGCTAAATTCTTTGCTCTCTCCTTTTGTTTCTATTTTCTTCGTATTAGGGACTACACTAGCAGGTATGGTGGCCACGGTTAGGTAGCTTATACTTTCTCTAATCGGGTCTCTCCGCGCGGCTACCATTTTGGCCATTCCCTTCCTTTCAAAACCGTTTCCAGAGCCCCGGATATTGCGGTCTTGGCGGTAGTTTTTCAGATTTTCGGTGTCGCTTCTCCAATCTCCATCGAGTGAAGCCGAAGCCTCGTCTTAAATATGTGACACTTGTCATCGACTCATACCATAGCACGTGAATGCACATTCAAAATATAGGACACAGCCTTATTGTCCATGGCAATATGATTTGCCTTCGAAAAATTCGGCTTTCCTAAACGAAAGATGGGCCAGGGTCGTCTTCAGCAGTTAAGACTAATCTTCTGTCGCGGAATCTTGATGATACTTGGATCTTGACGGTAGAAGATATTTTCATCTTGAAATAATTTTATGGTCATTTTGGCAAAAGGCGCATCAGTTGCTGTAGTGGCCAACCCGTGCCTGTTTTTCTGGAGGTATATGTCATTCACTATGGTAGGTATCTCCTTCCTAGCCCTGGAAATTCGTTAGTTGGCTGCGGAAGATTTAGGCGGGCTGTAAGGCGGCCATGGAAAAGAGGTTGAAACGTGTGATTTGAGAAAATGTTAGGGGTGCCTTAGGTTGGCCCCTCCCAATCTACACAAAGTTCCCTAAACCAAAACGTCAGACAACGTCTTGCTCCATCGAACCGAGATTGCTCAGCCCATATGAATGCAAACAGCCGCACCGACGAAGCTGTCTAGCCAATTGGCTGTACACGTGTCTTGGTCTTTTAGTAGGCCTTGAGGAGCTACGTGTATAGCAAATTCTGGCTGTTTGTCAAGTGTTTTTGGTGCACCACATCCGTCAACCACTTATTCTCCCCGGCTTCCTTTTAGTGTTCATTATGCAGCATGCTGGGTTCTGGAAGGCTGTTTATGAGCCTTAGAAATCTACACTCAGAACTACATCGGCTCCCACCGAGTTAGCCAAAGTGCTGTCTCAATAGCGGACCTTTCAATCTCTTCATGTCGGTCTGTTTTGTCTGGACTTCAAGCGCAGCAGTAGAACAAGCGCCAAAAGGCCAACATAATAATGACCTCTGACTACTTTCACTTCGACGGCTCGACTGACTCTACCAATTTTGACGACACTGTTGCATCAAATGCTCAGGATTCAAATACCGAGTTCGATTCTCTGCTGAAAAACCGGCCTGGGTTGAGACAAGCCTTCGCCTAGGCTGTTTTCAAATTTATCAAACAATTGAAATTGCTTTTCAATAAGGTCTAGAAAGCATTAAGCATGCAATAAACATAAACTCGAAGGTGGAGACGTAGAATGAATGCCTTCAGGAGAAACGCGCTAAGTTGAGAAAAAAGAAATTAACCTGGCGCTCGATGACTTCTTCAACACCGCCCGAAGTGTTTCAGAACCCCGGCCATAGCCTTGCCAGGGAGCTTTTCGGATGTCCTTTGATAATTTGTCAATCTACTCCTTTTGGGCGGTGAAATTTATGTTGAAGTTTCCCGAATTTAAGAAGGGAGATTTCAGCGTCACGATGGACATGGATAGGTTGCTTAGTTCTAAGTCGGTAAGTGTTTGGAGTTTGCAGGGTTTCTTTTTTTTTTTTGCGAAAGGAGCCGTTAGCTTAATGTTCTTCAAGCAATATACTAGGTGCCTACAGTGTCTATGTATTATATTCTTAGTTCAGAACGTCGTCGTCGTCGTCGTCGTCGTTGTTGTTGTTGTTGTGGTGGTGGTGGTGGTGATGGTGGTGGTGGTGATGGTCAACTTTGCCATGCATGTCATTAGAGCGGCTTCAATCAAAACCATGCAAGAAGGGGAAGATCACCAGGAGAGTTTTTGCGTGGCTTGCGTTGAGCCGCAACCTGCCCTGCCTCAACAATTTATAGTGTCCGAACTTCAGCCCTTTTTACTGGCAGTTATTGGCTGTTACTGATGGGCAGGTCGCGGCTGCGTTGAGTCGTTTCTGATCTTCAGCGTCAGCCTTCGGGCCTCAAGTAGGAGCAGCCAGAATGATTGGACAGACAATGAAATGGAGGTGAGTTAACTAAGCATGCGAAAATATGCTGCCCAGCAGGCCTTCGTGAGGATATCTGGTATTTGTTGGGCTGTTTTGGCTCAACACACCTTTGTCCTGTCTATCTTCACTTTGTCTCAGAATAACTCTGTCGCCGATGATTGCCCTTGCCGCAGCTTTGACGAAAATGCGCACAACACCACTATTGGTGATGCTGTTCTCTCTTGCCGCAGCTGCTCAGCATTACCATGGCATTCGTGCGCTGACCAAAAGAGGTGTCATGAAAGCCTGCTCCAACCTTGTTATCAAGAGCAACAATGGTGACAGAAAAGTGGCTATCGTGGTAAACAGCTCGAGTTCGATGCGCAAATCGGACCCCGACAACTTGCGTCTTTCGGCTGCCCGTGCTCTGAATGACTTCCTCATATCCAGCAGTGAAGCTGAAGGTGACAAAAAGGCTGACCAAGTTGTTGTTGTTGGCTTTGAATCCAACCCATACAACGTCTTTGGGCCTGGAGATTCTGGCGATCCTGCAGCCAATGCCGCAATCAACAGGATTAACTCGACTTGGGGGACTACCATCGCTAGCGGAGTTTTGATGGCTACGGAGTATATTGAAACCATGGCTGGTATCACGAAAGACAGAAGCGCAATCGTTGTATTCACAGACGGGTTTGTAAGTCAGGAACTAGCTTGAAAGACCTGTCCGTTGAGTCCACACTAAAGAATCATGCTCTTCCTAATAGGACTCTGATGAAGAGAACCTTGTTGCAACCATCAACAAAGCAAAAAGTCTTGGAATCCGCGTCTCCTTTGGCTATCTCGACCCTCGCCGCAATGTATACACCCAGCCCGAAGAAGTTCTCTATGCCGTACGGAATTCCAAGGGAGTATACGCTATGATCGCCCTTGCCGCGGGATCACAAAACTTCATCAACTATGTCTTGCTCAACGGCCTGACTTATCTAGACAATCCCCAAGGAGCTGGCGATCACCTACTGTCTGGTCTTGCTACTACGCACTTCCTCAGTGGATCTGGCACTGTGAAGCTTCAGTATGGCGCAGAGAAAGGAGAACATGTGAACTTCACCGTCGTCAGCTTCACCCGGGAGAAGCTGGCTGTCGAAGCCAGGATGGATGGGAAGACTCTCTACAAGTCAGAGCGTGCTACCATCGCGAATCAGGAACTTGCAGTTATTGCGCAGGATGAAGGTGTCCTGGAGCTCCATGTGTCGTCGCCTGATGCTCCAAGTGATGGACTATTTTCTGTGCTCACCAACTCGAACCTGCCCATCAAGAACTGCACTGTTGCTCCCGAATCGGAAGTGAAGGAAGGAGGATTAAGTCTTGGTGCAAAGGCAGGTATCGGAGCCGGAGCTGCCCTCGCGGCACTTGGTCTACTTGGAGGAGGCGGTTACCCCGCTTACAAAGCTTTCATTGGGGCAGGTGAAATGATGTATACTGCGAAAGACGCCTTCGTTCCGTCTGCAAAAGACGGAGGGTTCCATCATCCTGGGTCTGATCAGCCATGGGGACATAACAGCGGAGTGAAGCATGGAGGACTTCCAAGCCACGGGATGCATCCGGAGGGTCAGGGGCCCAACAGTTCCCTACCCGTGGAACCACACCGGCATCATTCCGTCCCCTTAGACAACCACCTACCCACTGATGTCCGCGAAGGACAAATTCACAACAACCAGCTCGACCTTCGCGACGGCCATTTCGGTTGCGACAGCCAGATCGACCCCCGCAACGGACAAATTGGCAGCGAGAATAACATCAACCCACGTGACGGGTACTGGGGTCCAAATCCTCATGACGGACAATGGGCCAATCCCCATGACGGCGGCATATCCCCTCCATCTGACTTCAACCCTAACCCATCACCTCCCCAACAACCAAGCAACCTGGTCTTCCCAGTTCTTATCGTGCCAATGCCAATGGCCATTCCGATAAGGCATCAGCCTGAGAAAAGGAAACATCATCATCACCCATGGCTTCCACAGAATTTGGCGTGCAAGCACCTGGAGTGTGAGTTCAACAAGCCGAATCATGTGTGTAGTTCAATGGAGACGCCTTGTGAATGCATGTGTGGGGATCGGAATTGTCCTTGGTGGAGGTGAGCCTGTTGTCTGGATAAAGGAAGGATTAATGTGCACGGGAAACGGGAATGGTATAAGATCAACTCGGGTTACTTTGATCATATGGGTTCTTTCATAGGATGTTGCACCATGTCAACGACACCTACAGGTCGATGTTCGGTTTTGCTTACGAAGACTTGATGTTCGCATAGAGAGAGGGATCTGACTTAATTCAAGAAGGATTTGGCGACCAGCAGGCTGGGACATTCGAATAATAAGAGGCCGAATATCCTGTCATCGAAGCGCTCTGACCCCTGACTCCTGATATTGTGTTTGCCAGTAATGTCAACAGTTGGCAGGGCGAAAAAGTCCACTGCTATGGCCCAAAATCTTACCGGTTCTGTGACGTGTTGCTGTAACTTAATCCGGTTGTCGGGCTCTTTGGTTTAAAGCCCTTACAGGAACTTACTGATCACAATGCAACTTGGCTCATGGACATACCGTGCCTCTGATCCATGAACAGGGTCCACTAATCCAAGAAAAAGACAGATCCAACACTGACTTCCAAGTCCGAAAACTCTCTTTCTCATTCTCTGCCTCTCCAACTCTCCTCTTCTTTCACTCTGATCTCTTTATTGCTATCACATCATCGACAATCACTGCCTAAGGTAGGGGACTTCCATCACCAACCAGCTGCAGGATCAAAAACCTCGCCCCTCAAGATTCGCAGTTCCTCCTCGGTCAGCGACTTGCAGCCCCCACAGCGGCAAATGAAGCCATACGTCCGGTAGAGCTCCTCAGGCGAACCGCCATAATTTATCAGGAGCTCAGTGCCAACGGGGATCTCGTCGTGGCAGACCATGAACACTATCTCCCCGCGCTCCTCGTCAAACTCGTACTGGACATTGCGCACTGGCGGGCAAGCATGGTTGAAGCGGGAAGCTATCTTAAAGATCGCGATACCACCTCGCACCTTAAACCTGCTCGGTGTTAGCTGAAACTGCCTGCCAAGGCTTCCACGTGCAGCCACAATTGTGTTGATAGACAAAGACTTACGCGTTACGCTGCCTGATACTCTCAATCCTCTCGAACAGCATCCCGTGGCTTCCGTGCAAACGCATGAATGATGCCTTGTCCGACTTGGAAAGGTTGCAGAAGTCCATCATGAACCGGAAGTTGGTCGTTCGCAGCAAGGGCTTTTCCACGAGGATCCTGTCGCCGCGCTTCAGGGGTCGGGCCGCGAAGATACCCAGGCCGCCGAGGTCAGACGGCCGGATGTGGATGTACTCGGAGGGGATGGCTGGGGTCGGGGGAGGAGTGCGGGGGATACATCGCTTGTCATACCAATCTTCGTCGCTATCTTGTTGGGATGAATAGGTTGCGGCTGGGTCGGTCGCATATTTGTGACGGAGAGAACCATGCTGTTTCTTGTTCTTGCCTGTCTTCTTGACCTCTCGATTGCTAGCGCTTTGGTTGTCAGGAGTGCCCCAGGAGTTCGACTCTGACCAGCTATCGCCGGAACATATCCAACTCCATGTGTTTTCAGATCTAAAAGTGTTTGCTATGTGATCAGCAGCGGATCTATAAGTGTTCCTTAAGCCACTGGCGGACCCACCTTGGTCTTAAGCGAAAAACTTTACCTCCTTTGAAGCGGCGCTCGGGAACTGATGAGTTGCTAGTTGACCGATCTGTCTGAGCTGCAGGAGGCGTAACTGTTGATGAACCCCAAGCCGTTGATCGAGGAGCAGCAGCCTCGAGGACATCACTGTACTTAAGACCCTGGTTACATTTGTTTCTAGCCCAAATAATGGTGTCTTCGATGTCTGGCCCCCAGGTTTCTTTCATACTGGTGAAATGTAAATCCCTGCAGAATCGTGTGAATCGCTCTAGAGAACTATTGGCATCTCAGCACACGTCAAAGAGTGAGAGAGGAAAACTTCAGCATACCCTGACTGTTTTTGAGGGTTTTGCCGGTCCCTATCCGGGCTCTTCGGAACTAGTAATTCCCAAAATCTCCACTGACTGCAAGAAACGAAGCTATCGTGTGAGCAAAAGCAATGAAGTTAAAGCTACTACAATAGGGATGATGAAGAAATCAGGCTGATGTGTCTTCTTCATGGAAAAGATGATGATGGCTGGAGTAAATGGTTAGATGAGATTGTGCTCGGGACAAAGATCGGACGACCACGTACAGCAATATGTGTATGCAAATAACAATGCATCTAGCCGCTGACTGGCCCATCAAGAATAGCAATCATGCAAGAATTGGATTTAATTGCCAACTCATTCATCTACTAAAGATGCTGGTCGATGCAATTCATCCAGTCATAGCAGATATTTCGTCTGATGCTAGATGAGACTCAGAAGAAGGTGGGTGCCCTAGTGATGGTGGCCCTTGGAACCTCAGGAGCAAGTATGAAGTACGATGGGAAAACCGATGCTTCATCAAGTTGGGCCAATAGTCCCTCTAAGAAGCCGGCGTACTGCTAAAGCGATATGTTGAGTGTTCAGTATGTCAAATATTGATGAAGATCGGGGAAGTTGACCAAGACAAGCCGGCACATCTACCGGGGGTCAGTTGTGGGCCTCACTGCCAGAACGGAAACTGGTTTGGCTATCATGTTTGACCAGAAAATACCTTAGTTGAGATTCGGTACAAATGGATTGTGGTGCTTTCTTGTGCTTAAAACCAGGTTTATGACTGCTCGGGAGCAGCTTTTGTCTCCCAGATTCTAGAAAAGGGGAGAAAATCGCGTTTTTGCAAGTGCGGCGGTGTCCTGTTGGTTGGCCGAGAGTAGGGTGATTGTCACGTTTCCAGACAACAGCCAGACCAGAAGACGGACATAAAAAGTGCTTCACAGCTCAGGGGAAGCAGGATTGGTTTTAATGACAGCTCACCACGGATCAGTAGAGCAGCTATCCGTCAAGTCGAAGTTGACGAATTACTCGGCATTTCTTTGAAGAGCACCCGCATACTTCAATGGCTCCACCAGCGCAAAAGTGGTGGGGCCCATCGGAGCTTACTGGGACGGGCTGAGCCGCCAGCTCATCGATGGTAGCTCGAGCTGACATTTGGCTTTGGGAAAGCAAGTTATCTATCTTCAAATGTTCTTATGCTTCAATACCTTCTAATATTAGCCCTATAAAGCTTCTGATAAACCTGACTTTGATGATAACCTTACATATTCATCACCTAAAACTGGCAGCCAGCGAGGGGTTCATAGCTTATCGATGGCTAGTGGTTATTCCGAAACGGAGCCATGTTAATGTGGGCCCCCGAGTACGTACCTGCGCAACAAACGTTCTGCGTTCATTCATTGCTCAGTGGTTATTGAGTTGACAATCCATATTCTGGTTCATGGTCGGTATCAGGTAAGATAATAATAGGTGAAAAAAGCTAACAGCTATGCCGGATTTCATGTTGGTACTGAACCATCGTTGCATAACGTTTCTATTCAATTAAACAAGTTCATGTTGTCATCTTTCCTGTGCTGGGAGACCAACGAAAAATTCTTTAGACAAGTGACAAAAGGCTGTTGAAATGATTCTGTGATTTGGACAGTAGTGAGGGAATGGACTGAGTATGATTGAGAGAACGCACAGAGGAGAGTGCTCTGACCGATAATATCGTTGGCGAGCTTGCCGTTGATGCTCAAGTCACAATCGCAATAAACAAACGAACTTGAACCTAAGTGACTTAGACAGGAACTGTTAGATTTTGCAGTTTACCTGTTATTTTATTCTGCAGAAACAATTTCAGATGATGCTCATGGTTCTAAGTCAAGAACTTGAACCTAAGCCATCTTCTCGGCCTGAGTCTCAAGAGCATTTAGCAGACGCAAGATGAGTGTTAAAGCTCAATTCTTTTGAGTTGGAAATTCGACAGGCCTAACCTCTAATTTGATGCTGACTCCTATCCAGAGCCTTAGGAAACCACGACCAAGTTAAGGTGTGCTCCTCCGTCCTCCAAAGGTGGCTGGCGAATTGCCCTGGGAGATAAAAAAAACCCGTAAGTTACCGACCAGGCTAATCGATCTGCCGAAGAAGATGGAAGTTTCATCAGCAGCAGCTTAAAACCGACAGCAATTGTTTGCTCTTTCTTATTTTGAAGGAGCCAAAACATCTCCAATCGTCGGCCAATGCAAGCGTCAGAAGGACGAATCGTGAACCCGAGATACTCGCATGGGGTTCGACCTATTGCATGTTTGCTTGTATTTTCCAAGAGCAAATGGTGACGTTTCTTTTGCTTCTGTTTGACCAGGGTACGAAAGTCTCAAGCTAACTGCACGTGAGTGATTTTGGAAATAGAAGAGGATGGGGTCAGTAGATTAAAACAGAGATACCAAGTTTGCTTCAAGGGCGGCCAGGAGCTGTGTAGATACACAGTACAAAGTACCTCAGAAACAGGAATGGATAGTCATGCTCAAGCTGTCGAAAGTCTCACTCGCTGCACTCGATTTTTGTTCCAGTCTTCAGTATAAAAGATCGTAAGCTCGATGTTACCAGACAGAGACTTTCAATTGGAATGGAGACGAGGACTTTGTGATGGGTTACACGAGTCACGACTTCGATGTGGCTGACCTGAGGTCACCACAAACTTGTATGCCTAGGTATCTGCACACTTTCAACTGGTACTGCAGAAGCACGGTGTTATTCAAGGGCTCGCAGCAAAGAATAGGTAGCTCACCGATATACTCCTTTGTTCGGCAACACTAGCAGCCACTCATTTGATAGACGAGGGAATTTCAACTTTTGCAATAATTGAGTTTTGGTTTGCACGGATTGTTACCTCATCCAATATATTATCGGAGGGTTTCTGGACGGAGGACTTTGGCTCCTGGCTTGGAAGTTCCAGGAAAGAAGGCAGCAAATGACTAGTCTGGGAACCGTTTCAGAGAAGATGGCAAACCTCTGCTACGATTTTCTGTCGCAAAGGATGAAGATCCTGAGGTTGGGTGCGCTCTGCTCATCGCGAGTTCGATACCATCAGTAGGGAATGAAAAGTAGCAACTGTAAGGGCTGTCCTGGGATTATTTTGCATTGGTGAATCAAGATCACCGCCTGCAACGGGGCTGAACATGATCTCGGCAGCCAATTTCGAACCGACACTTTTCGGGAATCCAGGAATGTCCAAGTGGTCGAAACAACCCGGATGATGTTCCCGAGATTGATGACCGGGTTCAACCTGGGAAATCTCATCGCCAGAGGGGCTGGAGGGATTGGATGTCTGCTGCACGCTTCAGTGGCTGACCGCAACAATTATGACTACACCAACGTCGCCACTCTCTGCGCCTACAAAGGAACGCCTGTTGATAGTGCTGCTTGTTTTCATGGACTCTTAACCGTCGATGTATATGGAGACTCGTGTTTTGGCAGGCCATCATGGGCTCGAGCCGATACTTACCCGCGAATCATCAACAGAATCACGAGCACCAGAAATCACAGGCACAGCACGGTTTTGGGCAAGGGAGTTGACTTCCCGAGTGATTTCCGTGCCATTGAGGTGGATTTGGGATGTGATAGGAATCCGCGTATCCGCGCCAATATATATTTTGGGTGTAGATGGGGCAAGCAATAATTCCCATCCCTCCATCGGTGTACAAACACCTATAAGCAGCAAAATTAGGACAAAGTTCCCATGTTTTTAGCTTGTGCATCTGTGCCATTCTATTGACACAGGTACTGCCACAACAACTACACTGATCAGCAGTGAACTAGGCGGCTAGCATGGTCTTGGATCACTTAGGGATCAGGGTAAGAAGAACGTGGCCGCGGTAACTGGCAAAAATGGCGTTGCAGTGGGCAGTTCTTTTGTGCCAGAGCCTCTGCAACATTGGTTGAGTCTTTGGCACTACTGTTGCGGAAAATCCCTCAGGATTCGAATCCCGAGATCAAGTTTCTGGAGCTCACAAGCTAGAGTCAGGGTATCCGCAAGGATTCACGAGTTATTGCGCAGAAATCGCATATTAACAATACCCAGATAGGGCCAGTCGAGCATGCTGGTCGTTTTCACCCTAAAGAGGGTATGATGGCATTGGAAGGGTCCCCAGCGAGGTTCTCGACGTGATGTGACGACGGAAGCGAGAGAAAGAAGGGGATGAATGGACAGACTGCCCCAAAGGCTCTGGTTCTTGAAGAGCTCAGCATTCCAAGATGTCGACTCGGCGAGCATCGGCAGTGAAGCACTTGCCCTCGGTCGAACCTTCCACACCCAGATGTTCACTGTTCACCCCATGACAGTGCGGGTTGGTGCACCACTGCCTGTGTGGCAAGCCTATCCAAAAGCAGAACAGCCTTAGACATTGGTCTGCTATAGCCTTGGCCTTGTATCCATCCAATCAACCGTTCTAAGCACTGTTCGTACCGTCCAGTTGGTAACGGCAATGATTGGCTAGATCTTTGAGCATGTGACATTTGTGGGGCCAAAGACTGTTGCTTCTGGCTCCACTGATGAGCGGAACTGGAACCCGACAGGGTGGGCAGATCAGTCCCCGCATCAAAGTCGCACACCACCAACCTCCATGAATGCCTGTTTTGTACTCAACACGGCTATGCAACTGAGATGGTGGTCGGGTCGCAGCACTCTGGGAATCGCAGCAAGCCAAAACAGCCTAATTTGGTACTGCACAAAATGATGTTCTGCACGATTTCCCGCGAATTTACAAGTATGGCATGTAGAAGTTGTGCCGAAAATGATGATTTTTTTTCTTGTGTTCTTGGCTTTGCTGCAGCAACGCCAGGCACTTTTCTTTTTTCACCCTATCGTCCAGCGCACCGTTCTGGTGGGGCAGGGTACGGGTACAGGTACCTCTAGATTTTCTACACATTGTTCCCACATGTGAGGG